TCACCTCGAAGACATCCGCCGTACACCAGGGATGGGCGGCAAGACCGCCTGCCAGTGGCAGCGCGCGCTGCGCGCCGAGTGCATTGTCCACAACTTGTCGTTCAAAGACGTAACAAACGACCCGTCCTACGACTGGAAGCAACTGCTTCGGTCTGCCGCTCCGGGTTTCGCTGAGCGCATAATCGGGCAGGGCATCGCCCAGGTTCTCTTTCGCATCATCGAGACAGAGCGTGACCCTAACTACTCCAACACGGATGGCCACGGCAGGCACTTCTTCAGGTTCCGTCGCGCAGACGGTTCAGCCATGCGCCTGCATTACCATAAGAACGGCCGACCCGATGAGCCCACCTATGTCGGTCCACCACGCGCCGTTGCTCAGCCTGCCGTGCCTGAGCCTGGCGCTGCTCAGCCTCATGGCCCTCGTGGCGGCGCTGCTCAGACTGCCGTGCCTGACGGTGGCGCTGCTCAGCCTGCCGAGACTGGCGGTGATGCCCCACTGCTCTTCACACAGGAGCACCTGCAAGAGGCAGCCTGCTCGCGCCAGACTGTGGGCCGCGACGAAGCCAGCGCCGCTCTCCAATCGCTGTTGCACTAACTACCACCATGGCGAGACTGCCCCAGGTGCTGTTGACATCACCGATGGCTCAGCATTTGACTGGCTTCGATGGGTGGCACATATCGAAGGTGCGCGCGACGTCATCCGCAATGGCGTCCACAGGGTCTACGCTGTCCGCTGGAATCCGCACTGGGCTCCAGAGGCCGTCTTCTGCTACGGCAACAACACGTACAGCACACTGGTGCCCCGGAAATCGCGCTACACAGGCTCGTGGAGCCACACGCGAATTGTGACTCACCGGAACGCCAATTGGGTGACCGAACCGTTGCTATCTGCGGCCCCTGTGGCAGCTACGCCGTGGCTGGTGTTGCGGGATCAAATAACCTGGGAGTGATCTCTGGCAAACGAGATGTGGTGCTTCTCAGCCTGCACTCATGTGACACGCAATGCCGTGCCCTGCAATCGCGTGGTGTTTCTCAGCCTGCACTCGCAGGTCCTTCGGAGGTCAATTGTTATGAGTTCGGCACGGTCTCGGTCAAGTACAGCGTGCTGTGGGGATCCCGAGATGGGGCCTGGCTCAAGGTGCTCAAGACGTACTGGAGTGTCCCAGAGCCGGAGTGCCAGCTGATCCTCGGGAGTTGGAACGGCATTTTCAGGCCGTGGCCGGACACGTTCTGGATCAGGACGGGGGGGTCCGAGCCCGAGATAGATGCTAGCGCTCTGCAGTACAAGTGCTTTTCAGCATGCGACATCCTGCGGTGCTACTCAGCCTGCAGGGTTCGCAGCGTGCGGTTTGCAATGCATTCCTTTTCAGTATTCGAGTTCCTGCGGTGTTTCTCAGGTTGCAGGGCTCCGAGGCTCTTCGCTTCGATGCCAATGTTTTCAGACACCGTAGCTCCGTTCCGTAAACATCTTCCAAGAGCCGCTCGCAACCTTTTGCAGCTGGCGGTCTGCAGACGTAGTCTGTCTCAGCTTGCGAGCTCCCGCACGCTTCGCCGGCTTTTGCTGCGCGGACAATTTTCTCACACACGTCAGCGCCGTTTGTAGGCGTCAGAAAAACATGTAGACATTCACGTAGGGCTCAGTCTGTATATCGTCACATCATTACATACGCAGTCGTCGAACACATCGGTGTACATTCAGCGCTTTGTCCTTCTAGCTGGGTTGCTTCGTGCTGAGGCTGAGGCTGATGCAGGCTGAGGCTGAGGCAGGCTGAGGCTGAGGCCGAGGCCGACGGCAGACTGAGGCTGAGGCTGAAGCAGGCTGAGGCTGAGGCAGAGGCAGGCTGAGGCTGAGGCTGAGGCTGAGGCGGGCTGATGCTGAGGCAGGCTGAGGCTGAGGCTGAGGCTGATGCAGGCTGAGGCTGAGGCAGGCTGAGGCTGAGGCCGAGGCCGAAGGCAGACTGATGCTGAGGCTGAAGCAGGCTGAGGCTGAGGCTGAGGCAGGCTGAGGCTGAGGCAGGCGGAGGCTGAGTCTGAGGCAGGCTGAGGCTGAGGCTGTGACTGCGACTGCCGTTGCCACTGCGACTGTCATCGCGAATGCGACTACGACTGCGAGAACAGCAGAATTCTACAACTGGATTCTCATCCGAATCTTAAGGGGAATGCTTCCAGATATGCTCCTACACATCGCTGTTAGGTTGCTTTGCCGGGATAATACTCAAGTGCTTACTGCTACGAATGATACGAATATGGTTGGTAGTGTTCCTAGTCTCAGTATTATCATTCGTACTCTTAACCGTATTAGTAGTGTCGTTGTTCGTGTTCTTGCTTTTCGCCTCAGTACTAGACGTATCCGAATTACTACGTTGGATCTTATGAGACGTATTACTAGGACTCCTCTAATGAGTACGCATCCAATGTGTGATAATAGTAGTCTTACTGAGATTAATAATAATTGGCATCGTTGTCTTCTGTTCTCTTCAATATTACTACTGTGTTTACTGCTAGTGCGATTAATATGCTTGATCTTAGTATTAGTACTATGAGTGTCCTTCTTGGTGTTGTTGTGTTATTGATACTGTTCGTAGTAGTCCGTGTCATATTAATACTAGTATACGTATTCTCCTTTGCATTAGCATTATGAGTAGCAGTCGTAATGGCATTGCCAGTAGTGTTCTTGCCCATAAATGTACTATTACCCTTAGTGCGTTTACTCGTACCAGAATTATTTGGCACTCGTCTTAATAATAAGATGAATGTTCTTCTAAATATTAGAAGTCGTAGTATTATCTTCTTCGTATGCGTATAACTGTTCTTTTCAACTAAATATTATTAATGGTTGTAGTAGTAGTAATAGTAGTAGTGGTAGTAGTAGAAGTAGTAGTAGTAGTAGTAGCAGTAGTAGTAGTAGTAGTACTAGTACTAGTAGTCGCAGTAGTAGTAATAGAAGTAGTAGTAGTAGTAGTAGTAGTAGTAGTAGTAGTAGTGATACTACTACTACTACTACTACTACTACTACTACTACATATTATACTAATACTACGACTAATACTCTACCTACTACTCACTAGTAGTAGTAGTAGTAGTAGTAGTAGTAGTAGTAGTAGTAGTAGTAGTAGTAGTAGTAGTAGTAGTCAGTAGTAGTAGTCAGAAGTAGTAGTAGTAGTAGTAGTAGTAGTAGTAGTAGTAGTAGTAGTAGTAGTAGTAGTCGAAACCAATTGCCCTAGCCAGCCCAACCAGCCAACCCAACCAACCAGCCACCCAAACAACTCAACCGGCTCAACCAGCCCAACCAGCCACCCCGCAACCCCAGCCAACCCGCCACCCCGCCAACCCGCCTCCCCCCGCCGCCTGCCCTCCGTCACCGTCGAGAGGGGGGGGGAAGTGTTTCTTACAAGCGAAAACCACAAAAATCACCCTCCCGGGGTCCGGCGGGTCAGCGGGGGGAGGGGAAATCGCACCGCACTATGCGGGAGGGGGATTCGCGCCCGAGGTGCCCGGGGACGATTTGGGGCCTCAAGTGCGACACTGTCGTCATTTTATTACCTTCACCGCGCTCCCCTTCTCAAGGGAAAGGCTCCCATCCGTGAAACTGTCGTCATTTTCAGCTCCTGCGAGAGGCTTCTTGGAGGCCCCCAGAGGCTCCAGGAGGGCCCATGGCGGCCTCGGGAGTGCCTAGGAGATCTCTGGAGGGCCCCAGGAGGACCCACTCTGCACCGCGCCCCCCTTCTCAACGGAAAGGCCCCCATGCGTGAAATTGTTTTCATCATTCCGCCCCCACGAGAGGGTTCTGAGAGGGCCCACGGAGGCTCCAGGAGGGCCCATGGCGGCCCCGGGAAGGCCCACGAAATCTCAAGAGCCCCCCCGGAGGACCCATTTTGAATTACACTCAGGGAGTTCCAGAAGGCCCAGGAGGCTCCAAGAGGCCCCAAGAGGCCCCGAAGAGCCCAAACAGGCCACAGGACCCCCAGCACGCTCTAGGAGAGCCAAGGCGACACCAAGAGGCTCCAGGACGGGCGTCATTCCCTCTCCTCCTCCTGCTCGTCGTCGTCATCCTTCTCCTCATCCGTCCTGCTTTTAATCCTTCCTCCCCCTCTTCCTCCTCTTTCTCCTTTTTCTCCTCCTCCGCCTCCTCTTCCTCCTCCTCCGCCTCTTCCTCCTCCTCCTCCTCCTACCTCATCCGTAGCCTCGATGGCTCCGATAGCGCCGTGCGCGAGATCCGCCTCCTCCCCATCCGTCCTCCACCCTCCTCCCTCCTCCTTCCCTCCTCCCTCCTCTCCTCTCTCGGGAGCGTCACAAAGAGGCCCTCCGAGGAGAATTTCACGACAACAAGGGCGCCGACACGATGAACAGACACCACGTCGGGGCTCTGGGAACGGAGTCGAAGACGAAACCTCGAATCACTTAGTCTTCGATGTTCGGGGCATTTTTCTGACCACCTGCGAGCCTTGTGGAAACTTCCGAGAGCCTCAGGGGTGGACGTCTGGCGCAAGAACACGAGTGGAGGAGGAGACAACACGACGCTTGGGTTCTACCCCCGCGAGGGGCGTTACAGGGTAGTAGCAGTAGTAGTAGTAGTAGTAGTAGTAGTAGTAGTAGTAGTAGTAGTAGTAGTAGTAGTAGTAGTAGTATGAGTAGTAGTATGAGTAGTAAGTTGTGCGTAGTGAGTATAGTGCAGTTAGTCGTAAGTAGTATTAGTATAGTAGCTAGTTGTATTCTTAAGTTAGCGAGTAGCGAGTAGTAGTGTAGTAGTAGTTAGTAAGTTAGTAGTAGTGCAGTCAGATAGCTTAGTAGCTAGTAGTAGTAGAGTAGTAGTAGTAGTTGTACTCCAAAAGTAGTAGTAGTAGTAGTAGTAGTAGTAGTAGTAGTAGTAGTAGTAGTGGTAGTAGTAGTAGTAGTAGTAGTAGTAGTAGAAGTAGTAGTACGCATATGCTTATTATTGTTTGTTCTCCTCCTCCTCCTGCTCCTCCTCCTCCTCCCCTCCATCTTCCCCGCTGTACGGGGGCCTGCTGCGCGCGAGCGTTCCGTAGATCTCCTGGGCGGGGGGAGGGGGGACGGGAAGGGCCCGGCGCTCGGCGGCGAGCAGGGGGAGAGACGGGCCCTCCGCACGAGGCTTGCTGCCGGGAAGCGGGAAGCACGCACGGCTGGACTTCCCTGCGGAACAGCCAGAGGCCTCGTGCCGGATAGAAGCGCGGAGGCCCTGCGCGCGCGGCGACAGGTAGGCCGAGCGCGGGGCAAACAGAGGGCCACACGCGTATCCAGGTCTCGCCCAGGCTGGCCGCGCAATGTGTATCCAGCTTCCCGGCAACAATCCCAAGACAAATGTTTGTTTATACTTGGGGATGCCTCCCTGCGCTCTGAGAATGTTGCCCTGAGTTGCACGATGTGCCGTTGCCGCGTGGACTGCTGTGGTTTTGGCTGGTTGGGCCGATCTGGCTTTGGCCTGTTGGACCGTTATGGCCTGCACACATATGGCTCCACACATCATGCTCCCACGCCCATGGGGTTCTTCACGCACGTAACAGTCCACCCGATACACACACACACACACTAACAAACAAACAATCAATCAATCAATCAAACAAACAAACAAACCAACAAACAAACAAACAAACACAAATGTCTACACAGAGGGTCACACACACACACACACACACACATTTCGGCCGTCGAGGGCGGGAGACACTCCTCGCCGTCAAACGCTCGCGTCGCAAGCTGCGCGCGCGCCCAGAAGCCTGGGAGAAAAGGAAAAGGAAGAGGGGAGAATGGGGGGCAACGATAGGGGGGGCTGGCATAGGGGGGGACGCATCGACCTGGAATCCGCGATACATCGCCGATAGATGAGCGATAGGCCCCCGATAGTGAATCCGCACCTTCCTGGGCGGGTTGGGACTATCAAACCCCTATCGGCGATCAACGGGCGATTGGGGGTCGATGCATCCCGCCTATGCCTGTCCTGGGGAAACCAGAATGTACCGATCGATACCGCTACTCCCCCGACCTCTCCTGGAGCGCGTTCTGACAAGGATTTCGGAGCGAATCCAGCGGTGGCGACGAGGGCCTCCCAGGAGGCCCGAAGAAGGGGGAAAGCGGGCGAAGGGTAGAGGCATGGATACCTTTTCCTCCTCGGATGTCCCCCCCTATCGTTGTCCCTGAGAGAAGAGTTGGAGGCCTGGAAATGGGCACCAACACCAAGACAGGGGACTGCCTCCACAGGAGGGAGGTGATCCTAGGTTTCGGTGTTGGTGGTAATATTTCGGTCACCTTGGAAGCCATAAAATTACCACCATCACCGAGATCGGGATCTTCTTCCCTCGGTGGAGGAACACCGCCGAAACTGGTGTTGGTGTCAACCTCTAGGCCTGCGAAGGAGCTGGCCCCTCACGGGGCAGAGGCCGGGCGGGGCGCCCCGGCGCCAGGGCGGCGGCGAGGCACCCGGAGAGCGGCGGGGGTCCGCGGGGGCAGGCGCGGGGCGGCCGGCGGCAGGAGGGCGGGGGCCGCGCCAGAGCCGGGCGGGCGGGAAGTCCATTACCAGCCTCGAAATTATCCCTACACCCTGCGAAATGCTTAAGAAATCATGGGTTAAGAAATTCATAGTCTCAGAAATTGAATAAAACCCAGAACCTCTATCAAAATCTTGGGATTTACATTCAAAAGTTAAGAATAATCGAGACTCTGGCCGAACACTTAAGTTTTCTTAAGCATCGCCTAGGGTGTATCCCTAAGATTGACAGGCCAAAAGGCGATGACAATCTTGGGGATGCGCCCTCAAAAAATACGGGAATCCCTAAGATTGGCATCGTGATGAGGAGATGCCCAGCATAGGGATAGGGATATGTTCCAGGCTGGTAAGTCCAAGCGTCCAGGCCAGCGCTGGGGGGGCCCCTGTGGGCTGGAGCAGGTCGGAGCGGGTCACTCCTGGGAAGTGCCACCCCTTCTCGGCACCCTAAAAAAGGGGGCCCCCGCGACAGGGGGGCATGGGCGAGGAAGCCCTGAGCAACCTCAATGCAACCTGGCTGCCCTGTCCTATCAACAGAGTCCCATCCTTCAGGGCCCATCTTAGAGCCCCCGATCCTACACTTACAGATCCACTGGACGACGACGACGACGACGACGACGACGACGACGACGACGACGACGACGACGACGACGACGACGACGGCGGCGGAAGCGCCAGCGTCGGCGCCGGCGCCGGCGCCGGCTCGCGTCTCCTCACCAGGGCTGCAGAGGCGCTTGTTGGTGATCCTCTTTACCTCTGGCCAGAAGTGCTTCGTGCCCTGGGCGCGGAGGGGGGGAGAAAGAAGGGAGGAGGACGGGGAAAGGAGGCAGAAGGAGGAGGAGGAGGAGGAGGAGGAGGAGGGGCATCGAGTATCTGGAAATGGGGGGGAAGGGGGAGGAGGGGGAGGAGGGGGAGGAGGGCAAGCTAGGTGCGCTCGCGTCATATCTGACATCCTACCCCTCCCTCCCATCCCTTACCATGGCGTAGATCCCCTCTCTACTCGCACAGTCGGATGTCGAGCAGGGCAATGATCCCGAAAGGGTACGCGATGCATTGTAGAGCACGGCATGGCATGGCGTAGAAGAGCACCGCAAAGCGTAGTATGTCACAGCATGGCGTGGCGTGGCGTAGTGAAGAATTGCATCACAAAGCTTTGCAACGCAAAGCATGGCATCGCACAGCGGCCCCGAACATAACATTGCATAGCATGGCGTTGAAGATCAAAGCGTAGCATGGCATAGCACGACGTGGCACTTAAGCACTGCATATCACAGCCTCAGCTGAAGGCATGGCATCGCGCAGCGGAACGCAACCTAGCATTGCATTGCATGCCGTGGCATGGCACGGGAAATGACGCCAGCGCTGCAGCGGGAGCACGAGTCGAAACGAGCTGAAGCGCGGAAATGAGGCCAGCGCTGCAGCGGGAGGCACGCGATAGTTCGGGATGCCTGGCCAGACGGGAAAAATGAGGCCAGCGCTGCAGCGGGAGCACGATTCGGAACGAGCGGGGCCCGGAAATGAGGCCGGCGCCTCAGCGAGAGCAGCATTTTGAAAAAAATGCAGGCGAAAGCCCAACTCCGGGGAAACCTGTGTAAAAAACAATTCGCGGGGGGGGGCGAACACTCCCAACCCGTCATCAGGGGAAGAAGGAGAGTACCATTGATTTTTTCCCCTAACAGAAATAATTCGCTGAGCAATTAATGCTGTAGCTGTACTGTAGGGTGCTACAGTAAATAATTCGCTGAGCAATTAATGCTGTAGCTGTAGCTGTAGCTGTAGCTGTAGCTGCGACGCAGCTTTCGCGCGGCGTTTTTTCTGTTTTTTACGACGCCGGGAGGTCTGGGCCAGGAAGGAAAAAGGAGTTAGAAAGGAATTTGATAAGGGATTTCAAAGGTTAGAAAGGAATTCAGCTTTTTTGCGTTAAATTTGTTTTTTTACGACGCCAGGAGGTCTGGGCCGGGGAAGAAAAAGGAGTTAGAAAGGAATTTGATAAGGAATTTCAAGAGTTAGAAAGGAATTTCGTTGTTGGGGTCGTTTTTTTGTTTTTTTTAACGACGCCGAGATGTCTGGGCCAGGAAGGAAAAAAAGGAGTTAGAAAGGAAATTGATAAGGAATTTCCAGGGAGTTTGAAGGGAATTTCGTTTTGGGTGTTGTTTTTAAACAAAAAAGAAACGACGCCGGGAGGTCTGGGCCAGGAAGGAAAAAGGAGTTAGAAATGAATGTAATAAGGAATTTCAAGAGTTAGAAAGGAATTTCGTTTTTGGTGGTGTTTTTTTTGTTTTGTTTTTTACGACGCCGAGAGGTCTGGGCCAGGAAGGAAAAAGGAGTTAGAAAGGAATCTAATAAGGAATTTCAAGAGTTAGAAAGGAATTTAGTTTTTGGGAAATTGATTTTTGTTTTGTTTTTTTACGACGCCGAGAGGTCTGGGCCAGGAAAGAAAAAGGAGTTATAAAGGAATTTAATAAGGAATATCAAGAGTTTTTTTTATTATATATATATATATATATAAAAAAAAAAAAAAAAAAAAAAAAAAAAAAAAAAAAAAAAAAAAAAAAAAAAAAAAAAAAAAAAAAAAAAAAATAAAAAATAAAAAAAAAAAAAAAAAAAACGACACCGAGAGGTTCTGGGCCAGGAAGGAAAAGGGAGTTAGAACGGAATTTAATAAGGAATTTCAAGAATTAGAAAGGAATTTTGTTTTTTTGGTTGTTTTTTTCGGGGGCTTGTTTTTTTCACGACGCCGAGAGGTCTGGGCCAGGAAGGAAAAAGGGAGTTAGAAAGGAATTCAATAAGGAATTTCAAGAGTTAGAAAGGATTTTGTTTTGTTGTTGTTTTTTTGTTTCTTTTTTACAACGCCGAGTGGTTTGGGCCAGGCAGGAAAAGGAGTTTGAATGGATTTTTAATAAGGAATTTCAAGAGTTAGAAAGGAATTTCGTTTTTGGTGGTGTTTTTTGTTTTGTTTTTTACGACGCCGAGAGGTCTGGGCCAGGAAGGAACAGGAATTCGAAAGGAATTTAATAAGGATTTCCAAGAGTTAGAAAGGAATTTCGTTTTTTTTGAAATTGTTTTTTGTTTTGTTTTTTTTACGACGCCGAGAGGTCTGGGCCAGGAAGGAAAAATGAATTAGAAGGGAATTTAATAAGGAATTTCAAGAGTTAGAAAGGAATTTCGTTGTTTGGGGCTGGTTTCTATTTTTTTTACGCGCCGAGAGGTCTGGGCCAGGAAGGGAAAAAAGAGTTAGAAAGGAACTTAATAAGGAATTTCAAGAGTTAAAAAAGAAATTTCGTCGTTGGTGTTGTTTTTTTGTTCTGTTTTTTTCGCGACGCCGAGAGGTCTGGGCCAGGAAGGAAAAAGGAGTTAGAAAGGAATTTAATAAGGAATTTCAAGAGTTAGGAAGGAATTTAGTTTTTGGTAGTTGTTTTTTGTTTTGTTTTTTTTTTTCACGACGCCGAGAGGTCTGGGGCAGGAAGGAAAAAGGGGTTAGAAAGGAACTTAATACGGAATTTCAAAAGTTAGAAAGGAATTTCGTTTTTTTGGGAGGCTGTTTTTTGTTTTGTTTTTTTCGCGACGCCGACAGGTCTGGGCCAGGAAGGGAAAAAAGGAGTTAACAAGGAATTTAGTAAGGAATTTCAAGAGTTAGAAATGAATTTCGTTTTGGTGGTTGGTCTGTTTTGTTTTTTACGACGCCGAGAAGTCTGGGCCAGGAAGGAAAAAAAAAGGAGTTAGAAAGGAATCTAATAAGGAATATCAAGAGTTAGAAAGGAATTTCGTTTTTCGGGGTTGTTTTTTTGTTTTGTTTTTCTACGACGCCGAGAGGTCTGGGGCAGGAAAGAAAAATGAGTTAGAAAAGAATTTAATAAGGCATTTCAAGAGTTAGAAAGGAATTTCGTTTTTGGGGGGTGCTTTTTTTTCCTTTCTTTTTTACAACGCCGAAAGGTTTCGGCCAGGAAGGGAAAAAGGAGTTAGAAAGGAATTTAATAAGGAATTTCAAGAGTTAGAAAGGAATTTGTTTTTTTTTGGGTCTGCGTTTTGTTTTGTTTTTTTTTACGACGCCGAGAGGTCTGGGCCAGGAAGGAAAAAGGAGTTAGAAAGGAATTTAATAAGGAATTTCAAGAGTTAGAAAGGAATTTCGTTTTTTGGGGTTGTTTCTTGGTTTTGTCTTTTTACGACGCCGGGGGGTTTGGGCCAGGAAGGAAAAAGGAGTTAGAAAGGAATTTAATAAGGAATTTCAAGAGTTAGAAAGGAATTGTTTTTTGGGGGGTCTGTTTTTTTTTTTTTTTTTACGACGCCGAGAGGTCTGGGCCAGGACGGAAAAAGGAGTTAGGAAGGAATTTAAGGAATTTCAGGAGTTCGGAAGGAATTCTGGATACCAGAGAGAATTCTGCATCTCAGAGACTATCTGATAAGAATTGCCCAAGAAACGCCGGGGCCAGGAAGGGGAAACGGAGTTAGAAAGGAATTCGATAAGGAATTTCCAAGAGTTAGAAAGAACTTTTGAATACCAGAGAGAATTTTGAATCGCAGGCCCACTTGCGTCATAATTCCCCAAGAAACGCTGGGGCCAGGAAGGGGAAACGGAGTTAGAAAGGAATTCGATAAGGAATTTCCAGTGTTAGAAAGGAATTTTGAATGCCAGAGAGAATTCTGAACCTCAGAGACAGTCGAGTCCGAATTGCCAGAGAAAGCCAGGGCCAGGAAGGGAAAAAGGAGTTAGAAAGGAATCCCACCAGCCCTCTGGGCGTAGGTGGTCTAGAGCAGATCCTCTTCCACCCCTCCCTCTTCCCCCTTGGGGAGGGGTTTACCCCTCCCCCTACCCCCTCCCCTGGACATGGACGGGGGGGGCCGCGGGTAGTTAGAGCGTCCAAGATGGCCCAAGACGGCTCCAAGAGCGCCTCAGAGAACCCAAGATGAGCTCCAAGATGGCTCATGATAGCGCAAGATCGCTCGAGATGGCTCCTAAGATGGTTCCAAGAAGCCCAAAGACGGCCCCAAGATAACTCCAAGTGGCCAAACAGCTCCCCAAGGAGGCCCCGAAGAGGCCAAAATCGTCCCAAAACCTAAGGTAAATCAATGATTTTGGCTTTCTCGCCTTTTCGCTTCCGATGGCTATCCGAGGCCTGGAGATGGCTCCAAGATGGCCCAAGAGGGCCCCAAGAGAGCCCCAAAAGAGCCCCAAGAAGGCCCCAAGAGCGCCCAAGAGCACTCCAAGAGCGTTCCAAGAGGGGTCCAAGAGGCGATTTTAGGGGCTTCCGAGGGGGGACGCTAATTAAACCCCCCCTATTGTTTGATCGACTCCCTCCAAGATGGCCCCAAAAGCGCCCCGAAGGCTCCCCAGAGCGCCTCAAGTGGGTCCCAAGAGGCGCCCAAGATGCCCCAAGGCGCCCAAAAAGCCCTCCAAGAGGCCCTCAAAAGACCCCCAAGAAGCTCCTTCCCCTCCTCCTCCTCCTCATCCGATTCTTCCTCCTTCTCCGTCCTCCTCCTCCTCCTCCTCCTCCTCCTCTTCCCCCTCCTCCTCCTCCTCCTCCTCCTCCGACGACGACGCGTCGAAGACGATATCTTCCTCCTCCCCTCTCGGGGTCTGTCGACAGCTTCCCCCGCCTTTGTTATTCTGCATGCTACACCCGACTCCATGATCACCTCAACTCCCCTGAGCATCGTTTCTGGATGGGCCTGGTTGGGATACGCGAAGCGTTCAACAATTGGATAAGGAATTTTCCGAGTTAGGAAGGTATTTTTGAAATCCAGTGAGTATTCCGGAATTTTTCGAGAATTGGTATCGTA